TCCGCCGCCTCTCCGCCAGCCTTCCGGCACAGCTCTCCCGCCCAGCCTCTCCGCCCAGCCTCTCCCCCCAGCTCGTCCGCCCAGCCTCTTCCGCCCAGCCTCTCCGCCAAGCCTTTCTTCCGCCCAGCCTCTCCGCCCCAGCTCTCCGCCCAACCTTCCGCCCAGCCTCTCTCCGCCCAGCCTTCCGCCGCCTCTCCGCCCAGCCTCACCTCCGTGCTCACAGTCTTAGCTCCTTCACAACTGTCCTCATCGCTGATCTCACCGCTGCTCGCACAGCCTCCCTTAGTGCTCTCCCACCGCCTTCATCTCTGCCCTAACCGCCGCTCTCATCACCGCTCTCACTGCGGTCCTCACTGCCGCCCTCATCATCGGTTCAGCACTGCTGAGAATAAGTCTCAGTGTGTACCGATTACTCTAGGGAACGTATGGGAAGAATTATGTTTGCTCTTACTCTCTATTATTGTAGAGAGTAATGCTTTTGAATAAAAACAATAATGTTTCATTTTTTTTAGTTCAGTGACACCTTTCTTCTTTATGAACTTGTTCCTAAGTTAGGGGTAAAAGTAATATTATTCTTTGTATCACCTGAGTTTCCGTTTCTCTCATTTTCTAGGCTTTATGATAATGCATTGATGTTGTAATTGAGATATATTAATGAGTAAAACTTACGTCCAAGAACGCCGTCAATTTATTTTGTTCTTTCTTTGTTACAGATATACGTGTTCGAGGGTAAGTGAATATCTGCACTCTTTTGGACTGCACACCGTACGTATGCAATACGAACTTGATCTTACTATTAATAATTTTGTGGTACGAATGGTTAAAACATTTTTAACCATTAAAATCATTTGCAAAAATTATTTCGATACTTCGACATTTCTATATATCTTCAGGAACAGTCAGATTCGATATACGGATATTCGACTGAACTTATCTCGTTAATGAGTATGGATATACATTTATTTGGTTAAAGTTGAAATAAATGTACGAAAAATGTGTTTTAAACACTTGCGAATCAAAAGAAGGTGTCAAGGGATTCGCAGGCATGGATTAGGAATCGATGACAATTGATTCTAAAGAATATTCACATCGGTAGCTAATGTTGGACACATCACTTTGATCTTATCGACCTTATATTTCTTTTATCAGCGTAGCAAAGGTCAATTTCATTACAGAGGAATAACAGCGAGATAGAGTTGTGTCTTTGTGTTCCTGTTTTTCATCAACCTTATGCAGACTCGACCAGTACTAAGGACATTACATCCATTTCTCACACTTAAAGAAACACCTGAGACCATGTAGGTGCACTCAGATGTGGGGATTAAGTGTCATTGCCAAATATTCTAGTGACGTATCGAGAAAGTAATGACCTAATGGGGGTAGAGTATTAACTGCCAAGACAATTAGATAAGACTAACAAAGTTGTTGAAACTTCTTTTTAAGAAAGAAAATATAATGAAATGATCTTTTACAATATAAAATATATAAAATGCAGTTTGTTTCTCTAAAATAACTTTCCCGTAATCACGGGAAAAATTCTGAGACGTTTTCGCACCGTATCGTAAAATTTCTGTGTTTTAAAATTTGATGATATATTGATTATGATAATGCCTCCAATGCTGTTTTTTTTTTCTTACCGCATTTCACCTACTTTTTCCAATATGAAAATTGTTAATACTAAGCCTTAAATATTTAATGATACTTTGCAAATTTTATTTCTCTGGTAGTGAAATTCTGGGTTATCATTATTTTCTTATAATGCCAAATATATGTGGAATATTTTATACTGGTAATTTCAATCGGTTATTTAGTTGTTTAAGCACCACGTGACGTAATGACGTTAATTTAGGGTGACGTTGTACCACTCATTTGTCGTAAAAGCGATTTCTTGTCAGGTTATTGTGTCAGATATCAGACAAAGAAACATAACGCAACCTGTTATGAGTGTTTATTTTCTGCCTCCTTTGCAATTCTAACGCGAATACTAACTTCATGGGTGGAAATGTACGGGACAAGATTATGAAGATATGAGGTTCCTTATGTTTCCGAACTTTTGATATTTTATTTTTGGTTAAAATGTTTAACTGCAATTTCAGTTTCGCCATTAAATTTATCAAAGAACGTAAATTAAGAGCGGTAGATAAAATTGCATATTATCAATGCTTTTAACTGTTACCTTTGATCTCTCTTTTATAATATTAGATAAATTATAACATTCTTCAGATGCCTTCTTACATGTATGATCAGTTAGTTACCTGATACATGAAATTTGTGTCATTTTATGTTTGGCAAGACTCCTTTGTTATTCAATATAATTACCCTTCTGTTTGAACAAAAACTCAAAGCATGCGATATTATACAGAAGACGTAAGAAAAAAAAATTTTTGAAATCGTTCGAGGAAACAAAACTGTGTTTATATAATCCACTGCCAATAAATATTTTTAGTTACAAAGATAGCAAATTTACGTTAAAGGTACTAGTTACTATCCTCATCAATCTAATTTCTCTTCATTTATATTGCGTACGGTGTTTTTATTTTACACGTTTTTTTATTCTTTTTAAAATAACTTAAAAACCTCATCCTTCATATTGACCTGCATTTACACTGACGAAAATTTGTTTTTGTAAAAACCTTTAAATTGTATTTGTCCAACTACTAATGATTTTAAATCATTCACTGACAAAAATAATTTAGAAATAGGGTATTTGTCTAATTTAAATTTCATATTACTCTTGGTAGTAAAAACGAGAGCTTTTTATCTTTTATTGATTTACAAATAACTGCCTTAAATAAAGATCATCAGTACAAAAATTGAGCACATATTTCACCAGAAGTATTAGTCCTCTCTAGAAATTTCTAGAATATAAATTTTTCAGAGAAAGGGGTTTAGAGGAAGGAGATATTGAAAATCAAAATAGGCTGGGATGAGATGACTGGCAAAATTGAAGTCCATGTTGAGGTGGGCTAGCGTTAACATAAGCGGGGTAGGAGTGAAGGGTGGCGGGGAGAGAGTCTAAAAAGAGCGGGATAAATAAGATAAAGGTGTATAAGAGCGGGACCAAGAGAAACAGGCTGCAGATGAGCTGAGAGAACAAGTGTAGAGAGGAGAACAGCAGGGATGAAAAAAGCACGAGGAAAACAGCGGGAACGGGGAAAAGAGCTGGGGGGGGGAAACGATAAGAGCAGGACCGAAAATAATGAAAGAAGAACGGGGTGGAGAAGAACGGGGTGGAGAGAAACGGGGTGGAGAAGAAACGGGTGGAGAAGAACGGGGTGGAGAAGAACGGGTGGAGAAGAACGGGCGAGAAGAACGGGGGTGGAGAAGAAACGGGTGGAGAAGGAACGGGGTGGAGAAGAACGGGGTGGAGAAGAACGGGGTGGTAGAAGAACGGGGTGGAGAGAAACGGGATGGAGGAAGAACGGGGTGGAGACAGAACGGGGGAGAAGAACGGGAATGGAGAAGAAAAACGGGTGGAGAAGAACGGGTTGGAGAAGAACGGGGTGGAGATAGAACGGGATGGAGAAGAACGGGTGGAGAAGAACGGGGGGAGAAGAACGGGATGGAGAAGAACGGGGTGGAGAAGAACGGGGTGGAGAAGAACGGGGTGGAGACAGAACGGGTGGAGAAGAACGGGGTGGAGAAGAAACGGGGTGGAGAAGAACGGGGTGGAGAAGAACGGGGTGGACGAAGAAACGGGGTGGGAAGAACGGGGTGGAGAAGAACGGGGTGGAAAAACGGGTGGAGAAGAACGGGGTGGAAAAGAAGAACGGGTGGAGAAGAACGGGGGGAGAAGAACGGGATGGAGAAGAACAACGGGATGGAGGAAGAAACGGCGGTGGAGAAGAACGGGTGGAGATAGAACGGGGTGAAGAAGAAGAACGGGGGGAGAAGAACGGGGTGGAGAAGAACGGACGAGGAGAAGACCACCGAAAGAGAGCGGAAGCACAGACGGGTAGAAGAAAGGGGTGGAGAAGAACGGGATGGAGAAAGAACGAGGTGGAGAGAAACGGGGCGGAGAAGAACGGGGCGGAGAAGAAACGGGCTTGAGAAGAACGGGTGGAGAAGAACGGGTGTGGAGAAGAACGGGGTGGAGAAGAACGGGGTGGGAAGAAGCCACGGGTGGAGAAAGAACGGGGTGGAGAGAGAACGGGATGGAGAAAGACGGGATGGGAGAAGAAAAGCGGGGTGGAGAAGCAACGGATCCGAGGAGAAGAGCCATGCTGAAAAAGAGCGGGAAGCACAGAGCGGAGAAGCGTGGGATCGAGAAGACGAGGGTCACGATGAGCGAGCCAAGAAGGGCGGGGTCGACAACAAGAGGCCGCGAGAGCAGGGTCGCGACGAGCCAGGGCCGAGAAGCGCGGGGCGGAGGAGTCGGGCGGGGAGCGTGAATCGAGGCGGAGCGGGGACGAGCGACGGTGGCGTCGCGTCGCGGAGAGCCGAGTCCGCGATCGCCCCGCGGCCCAGATTTATCGGCTCTTTGTTTCGAGGCGCCCGACCATGGCCTCCACGGAAAAGGAATTAAAATGAATTTATGCATCGGCGTCCGCGGGCGGTCACTGGGCTGTTTCGGGGCCCGGGGACGACACCGCCCCGGCGGGAGCGCTGGCGCTTGCGGCACTGCCGCAGCAACGCAACACACACGCGCAGAAGCTCAGGAGGAGAAGAATGGATTGCACTCATTCCGGGGATTTCTCCTTAAATGTAGCAATATTGTGAATTATATTGCCTTCATTTTTCAATTATACAAAAATACTAATGTTTGAAATTCGAAAGGTTAAAAATCTATTAACTATTTCATTATTAGAAAATGTAAAATTTTCTCAGCGAGCTTAAATTTCAAATTAATTTATTTATTACAATTATTAATTATTTATTATAATGTATTTATCACCTGCCTACGTGTGCTTTAGTTGTGACATGTGCTTAATGTGCTAGATAACAATTGTATTATCAGATAAGTTTCTGGTGATTTTTTCCTCAAACTACATTCTTAACATACACTAAGTTTCGTGCAGGTAAATTAAATTTATTTTATGCGTTGAAGATACATTAAACGCGAACGTTATTTTATTCTCGGTTACTTTGAATCCTGAAGTACTATTATCTGGGACGGATGTGATATCACCTTTAGACGGAAGAATAAAGTATGCAATGAGAAACGTATCTCCGCTGAGTTTTTCTTCCGTTTACTTTCGTGCGTCAAAACATTATTGTAATAAGAAGCATTAATTTGCATGTATTATATGACCGGTTCTTCCTGCCGTACTGACCTAGACCTCGGTCACTCTACCAATCCATTAGGTAATACGAAAAGTGAAACTCAGAAACAGAATTTTCGTTGCGCTTTTACCGTATGATACACAAAGTATGCGTATATTTATTATATGAGACACAGAAATAATACATGAAGACACCACTTTTGCTTGCTACTATTTCGTGAAATCGCTAATTTCACTAAAGTATACACTGTAACACACTGAAGTGTAATATTTACATCAACTGATGTGTACATAACTACTCGCTTTGTGTGCTCTTAATATAATTATTTTCTTTCGTTCTCCCCCGCCCATTTTTATTAAAAGCATACCTTTTGAATTTATTGTATCTAATTTCTAGTAATTTTTATTTACATTTTTTTCACCAAATGATGTTCTTTTCTCTACATCTTCGGTTCTTGGGACTAGCTTCGTCATTGTTTTAATCACCTTCAACCCAATGGAACATATTCTTACCGAAACATCGACATTGCTTCATACATCGGCCGATGACGCTGCGACGGAGGCGTCGTCACGCGGTCTTCCGACGAACCACTACCCTCGTCCTATTTTTCCCCCGGCCGCTCTACACCTGGTTGCCGTAGCAACCGCGGTCCAGGTGCCCGCGGCGTCGCAAGCTTCCGGTTTTATTGCCCATAAATAACACCGCCGAGACCGCGTCACCAAATTCAGTCCGGCGAAAGAAGGTGAGGAAAAACGCCGGGTGAAGGGTAGGGGGCCGGTGAGAGCCGCTGGTAGGGGGCGGACAAGGGAGTTGAGTTAATAAGCCAAAGAGGGGAGACAAGATGTATAGGCCAACTAGGAGTCCTCACGTCAGCAGAAAGGAAAGGGAGAAATTATAAAGAAACAAGGGTGTGCAGAAATTTAAAATAATAAAAAAAAGTGGATTTATGGAGCGGTATACGCCGTGGACGGCAGTAGTAATATTTTTATTATTTCATCATCGCGACCCTCTTGAGCGCCACCCTATACACGTTCCGGGGAAATTCGTGTCGACGCGTTTCCACGGCCGTGGCGTCATCCACCGCGACGCGTGGTCGCCTTCACGAAAGTCCGCGCCGCGCGTCTCGCGACAAACGCAAAGCAATTACTTTACCGCGCGGACAATGGCGGGTATCGCCCTAGGAAGTATTTTTAACCTCGTCGCTATCGGAGACCCGCCCGTGCGACAGCCGCCCGGACGGTCGCCTTATCCGACAGTCGTTAATTTTACTATTCTCATGGCGCGGTGACACTGCGTTGTCTGGTTCCTGTCCCCGTAACGGGGCCCGTGGGTGCGTTTTCAGGTCGTTTGGCGATAATTTTTTCGTGGAGAAATATTACGAGGAAGTGACGTCCGAGGAGAAGATTTAAGCCTACGTACACGGGTCTGACCGCTTGGAGAAGGTGCCTAATAAATTTCTGTGCACTTGCTGTCCCCGTGATAAAGCTCTTGCTCGATATCGAGTGCGCCTCGTTCGACAGGGTTTTCGAAATTTCTATGTATCGGCGGTAATTATCCTGAACGGGTATTCAGGTTTGAAACAGTTTTGCTTAATTTATAGAGTAGTTAATCCGCCTTGGGGAGATGTAAACACACCTGACTTTTTCACTTTAGTGCCATAATTTCTGTACACCGTGTAACATATTCAAATTTGCACGTTTATCGTTAAAATGCTCTTCACCGTGTACACTTTTTATGCTCACTTCAGTGAACTTCATAAATTATCACAAGCTTCTTTCAAATGACTGAAATGAAGTACAAACTATAACATTGCACAAGAAATTACGATACATTTTACAGAATAGTTATTGCTTCTGCGTATCGTCATTTATCGTTAAGCACAATGAAGATTATGTACTGATCATAAGTGTTCTTTTTAAACTAATAGCAAAGGCCTGATCTTGACAAGAAAGACTGATTTGTTTCATGGTTATCATCTCCAACAGTTGACTACTCGACATAGTTCAAAAAATACAGACATTTTGTGGAAAGTTAGCAATACTTCACCTATTGTTTCATCCTTTTTAAGATAATACCTGCATAAAACTCCTGCGCATTCCATCTATAAACGAGAACCTCGTAGCCAATCATTTATCAGCATTACATCTCATAACCCTTCTAAAACGCGGAACTGAACTGAATATGCATGACCTCAATCGGAGAACAATATCAGAAAAAAAATGTCGACCCCCACGACCCGTACGTCAACGGGTATGGAAGCAACGAAAGAAAACCGCATGCACTTTTTCGCGGAACGTCGCGCGCCGCGCACTTGTGGAGGCCGTTAGCGGCAGGTGGCGGCGCCGAAGATAAGCAAGGGCGCCGGGTTATCGGACGCGCCCTCCGCGTATCGGCCGCGAAATTGGGTTACGCCCCCCGCGACGGCGCGGAGGGGCGGGGAGCGGAGGCGGCCGATGGTCCGCCATGGGGGCAACGTCCTCAAATCGATTACTCCCTCCTTCGCAACAGAAGGGAATTCTCGGAAGGTCACAAACATGAGGCTGGGCATTTCAAGTTTGAATCGGTTTACATTACGACAGCGTAAATATATTCGACAATAGTTGTGTTTTTTTTTTTTAGAGAGCAGGAATCTAATAATTCACTTTTTAACCACTTTCTTAACTTTACTTTGAAGTTGGACGTAAATTATTTCACCTTCATTGAGAGA